AAGCATAGCTTTTGCACCCGCACGAAAACCATACCGGGCTTCTGTTCACACATAAGAACGGTGATTTTGGCGAGATTTCTGTAACGGAGCGCAGCAGCGCCGCGCCGATCTCGGAAGTGGAGCGTCACATATCTGATAGGTTTTGTGCCACAGTCTGGTGTAGTGTGGGAAGGTATTTGGTCCGTAGCGGAAGTGAATCATTCGGAAAGAGGAATAGAAATCACTGAGACGGAAGTGAATACATTATTGGTACCTAATTTCTCGGGTACTTGAATTTGGCGAGGATTAATATTCGAGGGTCTTTGATTTCAAGATCTTTGTACAATCGCGAAAATCGCAAAATTTTACCAATAGAGCGTTTTAACCCACGTGGCCGGCGTCTACGCAAATTTATTGGAACAGAAGAAACCGTTTGCATAAGAAGAGAGTTCAGTTCCCACAGGATTGGCTTGGAACACTAACATGGCCGCCGTTTCATTGATTTGGGACCTCAATATGGCCGCCGTGACGTCATGTGAAAACACTCTATAAGGTATTCAGGAGTGAAGATTGTGATTTAGACCACGAGACCCTCTCGGCCAACGGCTCCGTTACGATGTTCGATGTGTGTGAAGGACTTGTTCCAGTTCTGTGCCGTTGCTGTTCAAGCTATTCTTGATAGCTTTTCGTGCCGGCACGAAAAGCTCTCCTTTGCGCATATTTGCCAGCTGAATATTCCTGATTTTTCGAAGATTGGTGTTACTATGGAAACGTATTGCTTGACCAGGAAATAACGCTCGCGTGCATTTATTTTCATTCACGAGACGAGGCAAATCCACTATTTTTACGGCCGAATCAGGCCACTTAGGAGACAAACAAAAAGTTCCAATCACTTCTTGAAGTGGTCAGCGGTTGTCATGCGGTTATGGCGATATTCCTCCTCTTTATAGGTTGTGTGTCACAACCTTATAAAATGTAATTTTAATATTGTATCTACTTAGCTCGTTTAGCTTTTTGCTATTCTCAGTGGCTTTTTTTGCCTTACCTATTTTAATGTATGCTATTCTTTGTAAACGTTTTTTAATTTGGCAAAATAAAATGGATGGTTGTAGTTGTTGTAGTAACGGTAGGTGTTGGAAACTTCCGAGTAGGTGGACATTAAGTCCTCTGAACTCTAAAACCCTATCAGTTTGGCCTTAGCTCCGTTTGCAGTGAGACGTTTATTCTATCGCTTGAAAATTGCTTTCTAGAACTGTAATAGCAACTTACGTACTTTGTTAAGGAAAATTGACTTGAATTCAGTAGCACAGCTGTTCGTATTAAGAGGTGTACGTGTCAGTATGTTTTTAAGATAACAAACATCAACTTCCCTTTAATCACGTTTAAGCGGGAGAATGCGGAATCATGTACTCGAATGTCTTCCTTTTTTTCCAAGTCTGATAATTTTTAAGTGTCTTAATTTTGGCAACTGCAGAGCTTCCATGCATCGTTGTGTTGATTGAGGCTATTATTACTAATATATTCTATACTCTAAGACGTCGAAATTACGTGACCTGTATTTTCAGGACAGAAAATGTCCTTATTTTTAGCAAGACAATCTGTGATACCTAGTGTACCTGTTTACGATCATCTTTATTCAATGTCGCATGAATAGTTGTTTATTTCCAGAAAGTGGTCAGCCAACGGATACTGAATAAAAGGTTGGTTGAAGTTTATCACCATGGACTACTGTAGTAAGTAGTTCTCTAACCCCAGCCAATCATTTTTCATAATGTCGACATCGCCAGCGGATTAAACGCTGAAACGCTCACATGGTCCGACGACCCTTTAACCCCGTTGCAGAGATAGGTGCTAAATAACTGGTGTAAGTCTTCCTCATTCCAAAACCGAGAAGGTTTAAATAGAGATGCCTAGTGTACATATCCGTATTTGCAACAGGGGAGCGGTAATATCAAATACACAGCAGGAAAGAATTATGGCAATGACGAGGAAGCTACTCTTTGCTTTCTTTGCCGCTCAAGTGCTTTATTTGCAGCTACATTTTACCAGTGGTAAGTTACTAATGACCATCGATTATTGTGCTGAATGAAATTACGAATTTCTGGTAATTTTCATGAAACAAGTGTAAGGTTTTTTCGGCAAATTTTATTGAGAGGGTTTCTAAGCAAATTACTGTCAAAATTGACTGCAATCTAAACAAATTTGGGGCACGTTTCATCGTTTTCTCTTTTTTTCAATTGCGAATGTGTAGAGTAACCACAATTAAAGTTTCTACGTTGAAATTTGTTTATCCACGAAGATAATTTTTCATGCGCATCCCGGGAAGGGCAGGGGCAGCGACTGACGCAGGATATTTATGGGTGGAATCCCTCCAAGCAACCTGGGAAGTAGGAAGCTTCTCTCCCGTACTTCTTGAAAACTTTGTCGGCAATATTTTTACCCGTTGCACGTCCACATGTGCTTCCCCTGGGTTTTCGAAGACTTGCGTCAACAAAAACCTTAAATGCAGGGTGATTCCTCTTGGATAAGCAAAAATATCAAGCTGACATTATACCGTCGGGGGCCCACCCTACAAGGAATTTATAGACGACGATCTCAGGCTTAAAGCATATTGTAAGAGACGTGAGGCCCGAACTCAACCTTAATGCTTTCAGGGAAGTAAACCTCTTATGGGATGTAATTGATCCAGGTGGATTAGACCTATCGATTCAAAAATGGTAAATTGATCTGGATGAGAAAGCAAAATATATAATTCCAAATAAAACGATCATTTTAGGGTGATGTGAAGAGGATTTAGCAAAATGGTGAACGGTAACTAAATATTCAAAAAATAAATGAACAAATTATTATTCTCTAAGGAATTAAGGAATCTATTTCCGCTAATATCTAATATGTAAAGGGTTTAACGATTAAGATTAACGATTAACGTTTATTAATTCATTATAACAACAATAATAACAATAATCATCATTATTGTTTGGCGATTCTCTCCAACTCTCTGGTGTTTTTCTTGGTCCTCTCATGCCTTAGCTTCTTCCCACAGCTTAGAGACACAGCACATTCCTCAGAATGTGAGCAGTACGAACGATGGCTGACAACTGTGTACTTCACAAAATGTCAGGCAAACTTAATCTTCCATACCAAGCCTTTGCATTGCTTTGCCTTCTCTTCCCATCTTGAAGAAACCATTCCCAAACCATCTAAAGGTCTCCTCTCCAACCACATCCGACGTTTCCCTAGCAAATTTTTCATGTGGAGCTTCCCGTTCCAGTCCTGAAGATTCTGTTCTTCAACAAGCACCCTCTCCTTCAAAGCCATGCAGCATCCACTCGTGCTCAGTTAGCCATTCAAGGATTTGCTCTCCTTCCTTACACACTCTCAATACCAATCAAACCTTTCTTTCCTCGGCAGATACAGTCTGGCAACATTACTTTTGATGCATGTGTAAACAGGCTTTCACTGCCAATATCGTCCTAGTTTTTCTATCCATGCTGACCAGCCCTTCCAACATGCAATCCACGATACTTGCACTGTAGCGTATTAAACCTACAGCCTAGACATTGATGCACTAATAAGATTTCCGCCATTCAATTTGGATCTACACAACCGTCTTAATTTCTCTTCAGATGTATTCCGCTGTTAACTTGCCTTTCATCTGGTCTAATTGTAAAATACTAAGATATATGTAGCCCCTATACCCCCTTCCGCACCGTCTGGCAGGTCTATCGTCATCGTCATCGTCATCGTCATCGTCATCGTCATCGTCATCGTCATCGTCATTATCATCATCATTATGATCGTTATCGTTATCGTTATTGTTATTGTTATTGTCATTGTTATCGTTATCGTGTATATCATTATCATAGTTCTTTTTTATTTTTATTTATTTATTTATTTATTTTTTACATTCAAGGGGCTGTCTTTCAAGCTGGGAAGGTAAATATTACCGACACTTCCCAAAACAACCATGGCTGCCAAGCCGTTTCTTTCGAAACTCAATTCCAGGGTTCGGGAGATGTAAAGGTGTTCGCGACGCTCAGTCACGGAAACAAATATGTTAAAATCCACGACCCAGCGTCTCTTTGGGTGAAGTCGGTGTCAACAACAGGTTTTGAAGCCTGCGTGCGTGAAGCAGGAAGTGGCTCTGGTGGCACGTCTGTGATCAACTGGCTTGCATTTCAAGGTTCGCATCAAGGCATACCTCAGGGATCGTGGAATTCAATGAATTCACGTCACGAACACAGTGCAAGAAGATATCGCTAAGCATTCAGAAGCAGGTAACTTCGCAACGTCATCCAATTCATTCATTTAGTCTTCCATGTTAGTTTTAAAGTCAATACTCACGAAAAACTCATAACTCAACTTCGACCTTAAGGGACAAAAATAACGAAAACACACGTGACTTCACATCAGTAAAATTAAAAAAAAATGGCCTTGTTTTGTAAATTGTTTAAATACTATGCCTGCAAAAATCACCAAAAAATGTAATGGTTATAGTGCTCCATGATGAAAGTTGTTTGATATCTTCTTCATGGCTCTGCAGGAAAATTTAATGCATGGATAAATGGACACAGTGATTACTTCAGCACAGAATTGCGAAGTGGACTAAAGCAGCAATATCATCGTGGCATATCCCCTTTAACAAGAAAAGGGCTTAGCACATTATGAATTGTCCGTTTTTTTTCCTATGTTTTGTTTGCTGTTCAAGAATCTCCTCCTAATACTCTGGCAAATCGCCGCATGCAAAACCGAGTAACTCTTTAAAGCCGAAATGGAGTCGATACTTGATTATTTTCCGAATCAACAATTGTTGTGAAGCTGTAATGGCCATGAGCTTGTCATAACGTCAGTCCATAACGTTAAGCACTGTTAATCCGGTCCTCTTCGGGGCAAAGGACGATAATCATACTTAAGCTCAGTATGTACATGTACTTATTGGGTGATTTTTTCTCTTCTTTTAGATAAAACCTCAAGTGTTTGTAACCGTTCAACATAAACATTCTAACCGTCCGTTTGATTCCATGAACATCTGGCTAGAAGAGGTCGAAGCAGACGGCTTCGTTGTTTGCTTGAGAGAGTTTATGAGTTTCGACGGTATCCATACCGGACTTAAAGTGGTGAGTTTTAAAAAATTAGCCCAGTCTTCGACTATTACGTTTTTCTTCGTCCTTACTTGCTATCAATTAAATTTAAAATTAAATCTGATTGTATGGAAGCTAATTAAAAACCTGGTGGTTAGTTTGGCCTCCCCTTATAAATTACGTAAAAATTATATTAGAAGAATTATTGTTATACCTAACCCATAAATGTTTTAAAACCGTAAAACTCTGAATTTGCTTTGCAAAGACAGCCTGACGAAAGGGGTGGAGGGGTGGACTGGAAGTGAAAAAGGGGGGAGGGGGGCGCTGATCAGGAAGCGGGGTTCTGTCAAAGAGCGGCTTTTCAGCCTTAAGAAAATATCACCCCTGCTGCGCATGTGCAGCAGGTGTTTTGAAACGAAAGAAAGTTTTCTTGAAGTCGCGCATATAAACTATCCTCGTCATTTCCCTAATACATTCTGAGATGAATCTTTAGGGTTCACTTTAGGGTTCACTTCAGCCCGGTGACGTTGGCTTTGAGGCCTCCTAACACTTTAATGTTGAATAAAATTAAAACCGTTCAAGCCAGGACCATCAAACTTGGCGACTCTTGCTGAATATCTCTAGATTTACTTCTAATGAATTATTATATCACACTTAATTTACCATTTTTTACGTAGCTGTTAATATGATCTAGGCTTTTTAGTGACTAGCTTGGAAAAAAGAATTGAATTTAAAATGGCCAACTAGCAGGAATAAATGGAATTAATTTAAATAATTCAAAATGGCAGATCCAAAAAGGCATATGGTCTCAATAAGAAATGACGTCATCATGTTGTCACTTCCATTGTTAAAGATGATCAAATTGTCAACCATCATCATGATTTTTAAGTAATTTAATTATTTTTGCTTAATGGCTACAGAAACAATTGATAAGCTATGGGTTAAGACAATAAATGCAACAAGGCGACATTAGTTACGTCAAATTACGTTATTGTGTCAATCACATTACTCGTACTTGTTGGAATGATGATTACACTATTTTGTATAAATTTAGTGGCTGTATCATGAGTGGTTATAAACTTCTCTAAGGGGCCTTCCCCCTCCAATTCCCAGGGAGCCCAAAAACGCCCGATCCGAATAGTGTTAAATATAGGTCATGGTATTTTGCTTCTTTCTTAGACTGCAGATACGAATTTTTCTCAGGGTTCCCACCGTCAGGTTAAGTTTTCTTAAACACCCAGAAGGAAAGACGTTTAATGCCGTGACTGTTTTACGTTACTTGCGTCCACCTTTTCAGAACTGGCTTGCTTATGATTTGCTACCTGAGGCTTGGAATTTTACTGAGCAAGGAAGGCTTCATTTTTCTGGACTTGGTGCACCAAAGAAAGAGAGCAATTATGCCTTTTGTCAGGTTGGAAATATGACGTTTATTAATGATACATTCAATTTTTTATTGACTTAACCCTCGGACGTACAAGGGGGGGATGGATACCACCCACCCATATGGTTTTTCTGAGTTTTTTCCCAGAGGATAAAATGTCAGTACCAGACAATTTCAGTTCGTTAATCCCTCGCGCACATTTTGAGACAAGTTTAGCGATGGTGAGTTGCTATGGTTACGATATATGACGTCAGAAGTAGCGGGTGGTCAAGCCAATTTTGGGTGAAAATACATGTTTTTTCAACTTCTTTCAACAATAAAAGTAAATATTGGGGCTAAAATCATACAAAGTGCTTGTTTGTGTTATTTGTTATTTAAAGCACAAAAAATTACCATTTCTCGCAGTTTTAACCAGATTTCTAATTCTTGGTAAACTCCAAGATGGCGACCATTGTTGGTGACGTCACAGGCCTTCAGCAGCGCTACCAGCCCTTAAATATACCTCATCTTGTTAAGAAGATCAAAGGCTTTCCACTAAAGTTAAATGGTTTCAACATACTGAAACATATCAAAAACACCGGGGAGGGGTTCCATCCACCCCCTTCCCCTTGTACCTGAATTTGCATGTACGTCCGAGGGCTAACTTACAAACTCAAGCCTTTAAACCAACGTGGTTAACAATCAAGGTTTGTGTTTTGTATTTCTCATTTCTTTGACACTGTAGCATCGGCGTATTGTGCATTTTTAAAATTAGAATTTAAGTCCAACAAGAGATAAGACCTTCTTGATCATCAATGCGTTGTTCACAAGAGTTGTGTTTTAGATTTGTTGACTGCAACGTGTTGAGGAGGTGCATCCACTATTAAATATATTTTATAGACCTAGAGTTTGCCTACTCATTTTCTTAATGAAGTGGGACAATATAACTTTCTTCAAAAGGATCAAAGAGACAATATTTCTTTAAACAGTCAGGGAAAATTATTGTGTTTGGTAAATCATGATTTATAGGATTATAAGTTTGAGAATCCATTCTACGAGCCGCCCAATATTCTGGCATCTGTCGGCCATGAAAATGTCACCAGGGAACTGTCAATGAAGGCAGATGGTCGCTATAGCAACGCTTTGACTGTCTGGATTGAGGTGAGTAGCTTTGAAGACACATAATAAATTGAAACTGTTTCAGAGATTTGCTGATTAAAATAGCTACCTTCGCTAAAGAGTAAAGCACTTATAACTAAAGAAGAAGTTCGAAGTGGCACTTAAAACTTTACGGCAAATTCAAGCAATAACTTGAATCATCAAGCTGATTGTCATTTCCCGTACTCATTTTCACCTGATGATTCTTTTTAACGGAGGCTCTATGGGTTCATGGTTTAAAAACGGTCACATCTGTAGATTGTAATTGGTTGATTACGATCCATTCTTTTTTTATCATTATTATTTATTTCCGTGGTGATTATGACTGAAAACTAACTTTCTCGGAATGTATTGTTCTTTTCATGTAATCCGATTGGTCAACTTTGTCTAGATGGCCTCGGTTATAGTAGTCACACTGCAACAGACAGCAGCGTCCATTATATAACCGTGAGAACTGTACGTCCGTTTAAACGATTCAAAGTTGCTCTTGTTCTTATTGCCTAACTGGACGCCCCTGTCTAAAAGCTAACAGGTTAATACAAGCTTTTTATTTATTGGTATATTTGATGTTGTATTCCAGGAGATAACTCGTTTGTCTTTCAAAGTGTGCATCAAAGACAGTCAGGGAATGAGCAAGTCTCACGATCCAGTTACAGTGGACTGTGCTATAGTGGGAGGTACATTACTCTTATATTTGCTTATTCTTTAAATTCAAAGATTTGTCTCTCATATTGGTTCGCCCTACTGTCAAGGAATTTGGCCGTTGGGTCAAACGTCGAATTGAAGAAATGAATTCCAATAAGAATAAAAAACTATGATCAAATGTCGAAGAAAGAAGTTATAAAAAAATGACGTTTAAATAAGGACAGCATCGTATTGATCGCCTTTTCAAACGCTTTAATAATTTGTAGAAAAAGTAACTCCCCATTTCCTATCTTTTTTGCCATCAATTTTCTTCACAGGAAAAACAAAGCAAAATTTAAAAAAATTAAAAAGCAGTTGCGCTCTCAAAGGATGTAGGACGTCAGGTCAATTTGCTATTCATACAAGTGCTGATTTTCTTGTTGTTTTTTTTTACCCTAAAGATATAGACCCGTGCACAAACGTTACTTGCGATTACCATGCCATCTGCAAAGCTTTCTCTGCATTTGATGCCCGTTGTGTTTGTGATGACAACTGCCCATCGTACGAGGAGCCAGTGTGTTCATCCAACTCGACAACATTTAAGAACAAGTGCTTTTGTCTGCTGGACATTTGCAGGCGCAAGAGTAACCACACTCTCTATCATCCCGGTAGCTGTACAGGTAAGAGAGCGGATTATAAGGTTTCTTTAAAACCACCTTAACCAGCGTATGCAGAGCTCTAGTGTTATGAGATATGGTCCAGCTGATTACTTGTAACATCACTCAATATGGCGGCCATCTCGGGCGCCATCTTGGAATTCCGTTTGGCACATGGCATTTTCCGTGCATCTATAGGTCCAAAATTGATCATGATTAAATACTATTTTGCTTATTTTGGTGCTGTTTTGAATGCAATAAAGTGCCAATTATATAGTGCCACCATATGATTGTCTGATTGTACAATCAGCTTTTAATTTACTTCCTCGCATATAGAAAGGATTTTATACCTTTTTTTTTTCTCATCCTCATCAGGTATTTGTAGGATGCATCTTTTTTTGTCTTTATGTTAACTTTATGGCTGTTGTTGTTTTTTTGCTTGTTTTTTATCGCTTTCAGCTCTAATTAGCTTTGTTTTTCTTCTATGTTGTATCTTCTTTTTCTTGTTGTTCCTCGACAGGTTTTCCTGTTCAGACTGGGCGAGTTTCACAGGGGAGACATGTACAGTGGGCAGAAACGGCCTGTGAAGTAGTGAAATTTCCACCGTTTTCATTCTATCCGGACAAAGAAGTGCACGTACAAATAACGACCAATCACTGGAACATAAGCGAGAAAAATTTTGTACATGATGCTACTGTGTCCTGGGTGGAAACTGTTAACTTCGAGAATTTTGAGGTGAATATTTTAAAAGGAAGTGTTCAATTCAAGTATTACTTCAAGTAGTAATTAGTGAGCCTTTGTTCATTTGTCTTACATCTCGAAGAACTCTTGTTTAGCTGTCATATTTCTGGCCAGTAAAATACTATTTAAACATATTTTATTTTCACAACGAGTTACTAGCGGAGATTTCGCGTGTTGCGCGCGCAGAGGAACACTATGGGTAGAAAATTTGGTTATCTATGTATCCAAGAAATTTTGGTTACTAACAAAATCGTGCTTACGTACGTAGGACCGCGTCTTCATGTTAACGGATGTGAAATGTCTTACTAGCTGTAAGTCTAAAACATATACAAATTGTGTTTAACTCGATTTTGGACATCCATGTTATAATCAATTGACAGCTGTTAAAGTAGGGCATCCGCAGACCAGAGTCACATGAGTTTATCGCGGGCTCAGGTGTGCAACTTATTGAGATGACGGGTTTTTTAAAGTTCTCCGCTGACCAGTAACAGAATTCAAGAGTTTGCAGGCTTAGAAAACTTTACTACAGGAAGTAAGTTACCACGAGAGTTTCGCTTTTGGCCTTGGCTAAATCTATATATTATCTTACCATATAAAATAAACATTAGCCATTACATTTTATCTTTAGGTGTGCGTGACTGCAGCAGGAAGAAATGATCGCTTTATCAAAGAATTTGCCACGGTGGACTGGATGGCCTACCAAGGTGCTCCTGATGGAGGTGTGGCGGGTAAAATGCGCATTCCAGAATGGTGGACTGGATCACAGTGCTCAAAAGTCAGCCTTCCTCAGGCAATAACACTTTATTGTTACCTCTCAGCTGCATCTTGTTTCGTTGCATAAACCATAAAAAATAATGACCTTTAATTAAGTTTTCAATAAGGTGAACATTTGGTATGCTGATGTCATAAGTACTAAACCCTCCAGTTGTTATCCAATCAAAGATATTGTACTTGGACTTGGAGACATGAGCTGCAAAGAGGCAGCCCAGTTCTGTCCACGAAATTCTTTCTGACACATATTCCATTTTTAAACGTTTTTCAATTCTTACACTATTTGTCAGAGGGGGGAGATATTCTTAAAAAAGGCATTATTTGATACAAAAAAATATAGGAGAAAGAAACTTGTACGGTCTAGGGCTAAATTTGACAGTCGCGTTCAGACACCTGACCACGATCCAATGTCCTATGAGCGTCCCGATCATGTGAAATGTCATTTATTCCAAATTTTACATGCTATTCTCCCAATCAGCTTTGCTGTGTATACTTAATGATTACCAATTCAACTTTCTTACTGTTATGAATGGTTTTTTTAACAGGGAAAATTTGCGTCTACACCAACGGTCCTGGTTACAGCAGAACATATAAGTGCAGACTTTAAGCATGATGCCGCAAGTTTGTGGGTGGAAAACGCAACCAGTTCCTCCTTTTACATTTGTCTTCGAGAACTGCAGAATTATGATGGTCTACATGAAGATATCTTTGTGGTATATGTTTTCTCCTTTATAAATATATCTGTCTGGCGTTTGCTAAATCTTGGCTAAAGAAATTTCAAGTGCATTTTAACAATTTGATATCTAAGTCGAATGGAAAGTAGTTACAAAATACCAGCTGACAACTTTATTGCTGGCGACAGACGGTGAATTTCTCTCCCAGAAGAAACAGGATTTTGGGATACAATAAACAACATCTGAAACGTCCAGAAATTATAACCTTTTAGTCAGCCAAACCATGAGGCCCCATAGGCAAGTGTCTGCCGAAAACAGATTGAGAAGCCACAATATTTGAGCACAGAATAGGCTTTCTAAGACAAAATCACCTAAACTAAATACTTGTGAAGCGTTTTTTTTATGCTTGGTACCGTAATCTGGTAACACGAGCTCAACCACATACTTGAATTTTGTTTGTCAACGCTTTCGGTAAATCACACAATATTAATTTCGTGGCCATCACAGAACTTCCAAAAAACCACTCGTAATATTTCCACATTTAACACGGGCGAAATTACTCGTCAAATTACTCGGAAAAACTGTCGCATTCTGCACATAAATCGTCGATGGAAACTTTTCTCGAGTCACACAGTCGATTTATTCAAGATCCTGGATGTAAACCAGCGGTTGAAAAGGAGACATGCAGTCCCCGCCTTCCAAACAATTTTTGACGAAGACGTCTTTGGCCTGGTCAGAGATCAGCATCAATTTGCATCTCGGCGGATAAATTTCACCCCTAGAACCTCCTTTGTGAGGCCAAAGACTTTTTGCTGCCAACAACAAAGCTCGCAATATCCAATCTTTCCTTCTCAAACCCGGGATCAGTATTTCATCCGTGCAGCTAAATGAGACGAAATAGGAGACGACGTAGCAGACTTAATCGTGAGGCTTGTTCCTTCGTAAGGTTTCATGATGCCTTCCGGAAAGCTTTGCTTAAGGCAGCCACAAAAAAAATCTAAGAATACCCACTAAGAGAGCCGTGTTCAGTCTAAAACGCGCGCTGATTTCAAACTGGCATACAGTGAGAATTATATAGGAAGTTATGAAAGGCCTTTTTCTAGGGGGGTGGGAGGTTGTAGGTTAATAGCCATTGAGAAACTCATGACAGTCTATCTAATGCAGCGCATTATTCAGCCAACAAACTCAACAATATAACGCTGTAATGACGTCAAATAACGTCATTGTGACAATCAAATTATGCCTAGACGTTGGAAAATATTTTATTCTGTGTAATTTTGGTGGCCGTATCATTAGAGGTTTTAAAGTTAAAGAGGGGAGCCTCCAAAGCCAACCCACCCCGCTCGCAGGGAGCAAAAAAAAAACGGTCTGAATAGGGTCAATGATAATATCCGTGAAATTTTAGCTCTCGCAAGCATTGTGGTTACAAATCGTTTTTCGGGCACATGGCTCGATTATTTTTACACGGGATTTAGGTATGAGATAGCAATCCATTTTTGATTGCTATCCCTCTTTTTAGAGTTGGATGGCCTTTGAAACAATCCACAGGCCCCTTTTCGCTGAGAGCAAACACGTGGATTTTCCAAACAACAATTCCGTTTCTACAAGCTACAATGGTGCATTTTGCAAGGTAAGACGCAACTTTACTTTTAAGTAGAAAAAAGCTCTTTATCTGTTTAGATGGAACAGCAGAGTTGCTGCAAGTCGACCTCTTGGCGAGGTCCAGATGAAGTCGCGAGAGGTCGACCTTCATTCCGCGCCATATTAAATCCCACGAAGGACTTTTTTGAAAGTCTAATGGAACAGCAGAGAAAAGCGGCTATCAAATAAGTAAATTAAGGAATTTTGAATCATCTTTATGTCTGTAAAACTCCAGATTTTATCCCAACTTAATAAATGGGAGTAAAAATGAAGGACGTCGACCATGACTGATCTCACATCTAGTTGCCATATCATGTCATATGATCTTTCAAAAGAAAATAGATGAGGCCAAGAAATGAACTTATGTTTTGAAAGTTCATCAAAGCAATCCGAAAAAAAAATCTTGAACGAAGAAATGTTTTTCTTACTCAAAAATTACCTGTTCCTTCGAGTCAGCGCAGATAAATTTCAGCCACCTATACCATTCATTGATCAAAAATGGACAGTCATTCAAATGCTATATCAACAGCCTTATCTTTATGTCCCTAGGACGTCCCATTTGCGAAGAATTACGACAAACAACCCATAGTATTAATAGCAGCCGGTCACAACTCAGAGGGCAACAATTTGAAGCCAATATACATGTCTGTGACCCCATGGATTGAGGTATTCTCAAGTTATTTAACTAATATACAACACACTTTAATCAAAATAAGTAACATCAAGCTGACAACCCCGTGGGAAATGCACAAATGAGCTAAATTCAGTACCATGGTCTGTTCATGCAGTCTGTTTATCAGTCATAGTCGCGCAGCGAAACAATCCATGCATCTATTTATCCATGTGTTATTCAAGGTCAGTTTCCCAAGTTCTTTTTTTTGTTTTTGTTTAGATAGGAATTCAAAATGACTCAGTTATAGGTGTTTAAGCGAACGTCTCTAAAAGTTGAGCTATTACTGTTTGTTCTTGTAAGCGAAATATATGATGCTAGATGATATATTCTTATTTTACAGCACATCAAGACCAGCGAATTCCGCATTTGTCTCAAGCAGTTGTTCGCTGACCAGCATGATCCTGTGACTGTGTCCTATACAGTACTGGCAGGTGTGTTAGTAAATGATAAAAACAATTTTCTTTGCGAAGACCTTCTCGTGCCCAGCAAGCTTTGGTAGATTTCAAGTAAACTTAGAGACTCCTTGTTTCATATCTCCTTTAATTAATCACCAGTAAATGAATTTTCTTAGTTCCTACTTACTACAAATAACCGGTTCTATTTCCAAAAGCTTCTCGATCAGCTCGAACTTTTCATGGAACGAACCAAACTCTAATTTGAGTCGACCTAACTTGAGTTAAGATCGGCTGCTGGGTCAGTCGTCGATTTTTACGGGACGCGTCCAACCAATCAACTGAATCAGATAAGTGATAAAATTATTTTCTCCCGAACGATTTTATATACATTATCGAACAATTTTTTTTAATTTATCAGTTTAGTTCGTCACATGTGAAGATCGACGTTTGTCCCGGAGACGATCTTCGGACGCTCTGTCCGTCTGAACGTGTTGGACGATCCAAACTCATTCAGACGAACTTAACTGAGCCAGACGTCGCTAGGAACGTTACATGAACTTAAATCACTAAGTTTGGTCTTTGTTACGCACAATTTACTTCACACAAAATGTTTTGTATATTGCAGATGTATGTAAACCAGGCTGGTCATATTTTAATGGTATTTGCTACTCGACAAGCCATTCGTGCAAAAATTGGACCGAAGCTGAGAAAACCTGCCAAGCATACAGCGGCAACCTCATAACTGTGCGTAATCAAGAAGAAAACGTCTATATTCAGCATCGGCTGAATGGTGCCAAGGGCTGGATTGGTCTAAACGATAGGACAGTTGAGGGTACTTTCGACTGGGCAGATAATCAAACCAGTAACTTTTCATATTGGGCGAAGAACCAACCAAATAACTTCAACAATGAAGACTGCGTTCACACTTTGGGAGTCAGACATAGTTTTATGTGGAATGATGTAAGCTGTGGTACATGCCATAACTATACCTGTTCAGAAGGTTTGTGGGTGACTTACCTCTTTTATATACCAACTTTTGTATGCTATATACAGTTAAAATAGTGTGACGGGACGCGTGGGCGTAACCCGTTTACTATAGTGAGAACTTAGTGTAAAAATTTAAAAATATGCATACACAATAATAATAATAAAAAAGAGCACTATAAATAATGCTCCCAAAAAAAAATAATAATAATAAATAAAAATACATTTAAAAAAATGATAAAACTATTCCAGATATCTAGGATCTAAAATGATAACTATAAAGTCTTTAAAGTTCTCTTAACCCATTCGCCCCTGAACCGCCCGTAACCGCCCGTGCGGATCCAGGTCCTTTCTACCCTTTGTGACGTCATCAGTTTTAAAAGTCAAGGACACCTTTTTTCCCTAACTTGTGCAGAGTGAAAAGATCTTTCAAACCATACCAGAATGAGCACAATTCAGTCAAGGACACCGGAGAAAGAAGCAAAAAACCACGTGACATTGACCTGAAAATCTCCATGAATATCTTGTTCCATTGTTCACCTACCTTTCCTTTCACCTAATCCGAGGATCCTAAAAGCTTTCCTAAAAACTCTTCCCACCAAAATGAAGCCTACTAAATGCCCAGCAAGAGAAAAAAAAAATGAGGCAAGAAAAGCGAAAAAAGAAGGGAGGAGAGAAAGCGAAAAGTAAAAGTCAAGACTGCTGTGTCACTTTTAAACCCAAATTTTGCTTTCTGCGCATGCCCGAACTTCGCAAGCTGATATTTTGCATCTGGATCAGAAGGCCATGAAGTCTACGACCTGTAAACCGGTTTGTGGTAAGTCTTAGCTCTTTATAGCACGACAGTGGCCAGAAAACCACTCGACTAGCTTCAAAACGCGTTTTTCGGCAAAATCTCCAGGAGCAAATGGGTTAAATATATTACTTATTCGGCTGTAACAAAATTCATTGACGACTTCTTCACGCCCACAAAAGTCCAAAAGATGTTGAAGGAAGAGAGTTAATAATTTCGAAAGCGATAATCATTGTTCATGTTGCAACTTTAAACGTTCTAAAGATGTTTAGTGTCCCGAGAGTACAGAATTCTGCATGTTATAAAAAAAAAAACTGCCTTACTCTTACTTTCGACCAACTGCTTCAGCTTGACTTCTAAGTCTGGGCACCACCCCCTAACACGTTCATTATGATATTATATTGTTTCACTTCATATCATTGGTACTTCTGCTTTCACTCCGGTCCCAACGGAGCGGTTCGTATTTCGTGGTTTTCTCCACCTCCTTTTTCTCCCGGCTTGTAACCCATGAGCAGCTCATCTTAAGCGTTATAACTTGCTTTGACTCGTGGTTGATAATGCACGCGTGAACTCTGTTGGCTTCAACTTCTTGGTGCTCCGCAAATAGGGGGACATCCCAGAACACTTGCGCATCGTTCGCCTCGTACACTGGCTTCGGTTTCAGTGGCGAGTCAAGGTGGCACCGAGTCTGCAAGGCCTAGGCCTTGCAAAATCTCGAAGAAAAGTATCTTAAGGGCTGCATTATTTCGGGTAATGTACTTGTTCTGTGCAAGGGCAGTACAACCAGTCAGGACATGGGCGACACTTTCAGGGGCCTTATTGCATAGCCTGCACGTTACCTCACCCGTCATATCCGTGTGCGTTTTCTGGCAGGCATACAACCTCGTAGGTATTATTATTATTATTATTATTATTATTATTATTATTATTATTATTATTATTATTATTATTATTATTCATTAGTTCCCATTCAAAAGCAATTTGCCCCAAACCTGTTTCAAAAAGAGATTAAAGGGTTTGTTCTTGACCTCATTTTGAAAGTGTGGGTATTTTTAGAAATGGAAAATGGTCTATTTTAACGTTTCCAGGTGTTAAGAGTTATTTTTATTTATTTTATTTCTATTTTCAGAGAAGATCCTAATTGACTTTCACCAATTTACACCTCAATAACCAATAGGCCATATTTGCACGATGACGTCATTTTATTATTATTACTACCAGAATCCTTCAGGGTATTGCTTTCTTATGCAAATTACGGCTTTTGTTATTAAAACCTCACTGGGATTAGCAAATTTAAATATGAAAGAAAAAACGAAAAGAATTCTGGTCCTAGTAGTAAAAAGGCGTCGTCGTGCAAATGGCCCATTTCTCTGGCTTCTTAGGTGACAAAAAGTTTGAGTTTACTGTAAATCTGTTTGTTGCAGAAATAGTATAAATTAAAAGATTAGTCTACAAAGAATTCGAAAAATAGGCACTACTTGTGCGAAAAAGAAAATTAGACGTCATAAAAAGGATCCATAAGCTGGAGCTTTTAGCACTGCATTACCCCTTCATACACCACAGTCTTCGTGCTGATTGACTCATATGAGAAACGATTTTAAATTTTGATTGACAAATGATAGTTTCATTATTTGTTTTGCAGGTTGATTGACTGAACGATTGTTTTATATTCGTTTTTAAAATTAGATTTTGATGAATGTGGAGGAAACAATAACCATTGTCATCAGAACGCCATCTGCACAAACATTATTGGCTCCTATAGCTGCCGGTGCTCCGTAGGATATACCGGTGATGGTTTTCTTTGCAGAGGTATTATGTTCGAAGACCCAAGTTGTAGTTTTTCGTTTAATTCGTGAAGCATAATTTTTAAAGATCCTCATCCAATGGTAAAGAGACATCTCTTGTGAATTTAAGGCTAGCTTGGGGCGAATTTCTAAGGTAGAATAAGCGCGCTTTTACCATAAAATTGCCTGAAAATTTATTTTTCAAATAACTCTTTAGAGGGTTTTAAATACTGAGCAGCGTATAATAGTGGTAAAATAAGCGTTTAAACATAGGCTTGCATAAATTAGGAGGGAGATCTTCTCAACAATTTTTTTTTCCAGTTTCAGAGTTGATAAAATTTGGACATTAACCTAATCTCTATGAACAACACTGAGCAATGAAGTTATTAACTACCCTAATTTTGTAGTATATAGGAATGAAGACCATACTATAGTTTTAAATACAGCCCAAAAAGGGAATTAAAGTAGGTATGTGGATTTCCCGACAATTTCAAAATCTAAGCTCCCGTAGACTGCCTAGCTTTCCGCTCTGGTTACAACTTTCTCAACAAACTGGAGCGGGGACGCTTGTTAGATCTTGTTACGCGGGCTTAAACTTTCGGGGATTCATTATGAGAGGCTTTCTTGTATGCCGATGGGGCTAATATGCCAGAAGCTTCAACATAGTACGGTACTTTGAATTCCTTGAAACCTTCGTAAAGAGTAAATTTTTTTCCTTCAGATATCGACGAATGTTCTTCAGGTCACCAGTGTGACAGCAGTGCGACTTGTTATAATTCAGATGGATCCTACACTTGCACATGTAACAGCGGCTTCACGGGGGATGGACGAACCTGTCGAGGTACAAGCCTTTAAATAAATACTGAATACTATAAACGACAGCTCTGTAAAGCTTTTCGAAAAATTAGGTTGTCTGGCCATAGGTGACATCATACGTATAGCAAAACTTCTCATTCTACACAAAGTGAGTCAAGATCATTGTCCTGATTATTTCACGTCCTATTTCAAACATGTCCGTTCTTCACATGCTCATAGTACTAGATCCGCCACCCATAACAACGTTCTGACACCTCTCTGTTAAAGAAACGGCTCAGGACTTAGCATAGGAAGTTAGCAAGTACTTGTCGTTTATGGAAAAAGTGAGGTCACTCGTATATAGACACATACTTTCCCACGCAATGTTCAGAAAAGCACTGTCTACTGATAAGTTTACCAATTAAGACAACGCCTCGTTAGCACATTTTAAGGTTTGCAGATCTTTTCAGACATTTATAGAAGTTGTAGAAATTTTTATTTTTATTTTTTTTATAACTAATACCTGTTGTGTGGAGGACGATTATCAAAACTACCCGGTAAACGGTAATGTCTCCACCCTCGTTGTTCTTCTCGTTCTTGTTCTTCCTCTTCTTCTACTGATGTCGTTTAAGAAGAAACAAAAAGCAAACTGCGGTGATAAACATAACGAAATGTAAACGCATTTCTGGGAAGAAAAAAGACGTCTCGTCAAGCGGCGGCCCGTCTCCCCTCCTTATTTAGCTTTATTTTCAGGCTAAACGCAGGCCCGAAGGGTTGAGTAGAATGAATTTCTCAGCCGAGTCCTCTACTTACTTGCAGATCTGAATTCGCCACTGCTTACATGCGTGCACAGAACTGAAAGTCATTTCTTCACAATGGTCTACTAGTGTTCTTGTTATGTCTTGAAAAGTTCACTCCTATGACTATGACATTCGTTGACAAAAAAGAGAGCCCAGCTTTAATAAATAAAAGTTTCCTTATCTTCCAGATGTTGATGAATGCTCGCTTAACACCCATGACTGTCACTCCCATGCAATCTGCACTAACACAGAAGGGTCATTTACTTGCAAGTGTGACGTGAATGCACATTACATTGGTGACGGGAAAACATGCACTCCTCATCGTAAGGCGAATTACATGTTTTACTTCATTTTGTTCTGTTCGTTTTACCACTCCTCTGACAATTGTTAACTTCTATTTTCTGGGAAAAGGTATCCACCAATATTTATGTCGGCAAAGAGCAACCTCCCGCCTGCCTGTCGATCATCTTGATTACGCTCTTGTCCAAGAATATACTCTTAATGAAATTTCAAATGCACCGAAAGCGAGATTTGCTTGTTTATTATTTCGATTGCTTCTGACTTTTTTGGGTACTTTAATTCTGAGTGTATTTCAGGCTAACCCCGCTGATATGTTTAATTAGTCAAGTGGTTTTTTTTTAGGTATAGCAATTACTGGAGTCGTTGTCAGTTTCCGAAATACAGCATCTTTAAAAAGGATGAATTTCTGATTTACTTTCTTTTTACCAGGTGGCCTCGATGACTCCGTTATTTTAGCGAACGATGCCAGCAAGATATCGCAGTTAAATACCTGGCTTCTTCCGCACTTGCAAAGTCAAGACAGAAGTTATTGGAAACTGTGTTATAGGGCCTCCAATCATGGCTGGAGATCACGGACCTTTCACAGCTATTGCGATAACAAAGGTCCCACTGTAACGATTGTTAGAGTCGGGATCTATATTTTTGGAGGCTACAACGACAATTCATGGCAATGTAAGTGCGTGAAATAGCTAACTAAGATACCCACCAGGAAGGCTTCAACTGGTTGAATTAAGCCAAGGGGTCGTTGACCCCAGATGTTAAAGAAAGAAGAGATAGAGCCTTAACAGTTTTCGCTAGTAGTTCAGAACAACTCTGGACTTAAATTGAGTTTTGCTTATCACTCGCAATATTGCGTAGTAATTTTGAAAACGTCGCCGTAATAGGTTAATCAAATACTCACAAGACAATCTTACCTCGGGTCTGTTCTGTTGCACTTTGTAATAAAAAAGATGTCGCATCTTGTAATAACACTTGTCGTACTTTCAATTGCCAACTTGAAATGGATCGATGCAAGGAAGACCAGTAAACCCGATCTGAATAAGTATCATCATCGACAGCAACAGTAATAATAATTACTCAACTGAACTAATTTCAGCTCCAATTCTCAAGTGGGTGCGGAGGAAAGTGTTCACATCAACTGCGGCCTTCCGGCTTCCATATCTTTGTAGGGAGTGAGTTCAACTCTTTATGAAAATACGATAAAATAACCAAATGGCAAATTTTGAGTTCAATTTTTAACAGATATTATTTTTCTCCGAATTTCATAACTTGCTGATTTCTTTGCTTTCAAAGCATCGTTTTAAGCACATATCAATTTTTCTATAATGATTACCTCGATTTATTCGGGTTACAAGTAAAATGGAAAACACTTAGTTAATTAATATCTTAAACATGGTGGATCCAAGATGGCGGATGGTTCCAGATCCTTCTTTAACAATGAATAACGTCGTCATGACATCACTACTATTGTTTTAGATAATTAATGTGTTATTATTATTATTATTATTATTGTTATTATTATTATTACTACTAATTATTGTATTATTCTATTTGTTTTGTCGATGCTGATACTTCTTATTGTTGGGTTTACTTATCCTCCGACCAGGCATTTTAAGTTCATTACCAATTGCGGCAAGTGTTATTACAAATTGCGACAGCTTGTTTATTACAAAGTGCGACAAGTGGTATTACAATGTGCGACAATTTTATTATTACAAAAGTGTGACTGAACACGGGTCACAACGTTGTTGTAACATAAATTGCATTTTAAACATTTGGAGTCAGTATTATTCGTCTAAAGGCACACTTTGAAAATCTTTTGTGACAACCAGTCAGCTTGCCAGTAAGTTTTGAGTAGTACAAGTCTGACACATTTTCCATGCATTATCGGTGATGACAATCTTTTAGCCACAGGGTCCTCCTTGTAAACAACGGCTTGGCCGTTTGTCTTCTTGTTCGATGGGAATCCGCCGTCCGTTTTAAATTTACTAATGGAAAACTCCTGGGGACGAAGTTAGTTGCAACTTATGATACTCCAATTTCACGAGGATTTGAGCCTGATTTATTATTTATTTCACACATTAGGGACTTGTCAGAAATTAGCAGGGGGGAGAGGAGGTGGAGATTTTCAGTTAAGTGCTGAAAATAAAATGATCCTCCGTAGGTAAGGGATTAAAATGTCCCGACCCTCCCCTGGAAAGTGTCCTAAACTTCTATGACCCTCCCCTGAATAAATGATTAATTAGCCCGACTTCTCATACAGTGATACAGGGAAAATAATTCAGTTCTTTCAAAAAAGCAAACTTGTATTAAAACTGACCTATGACGAACATGCAAGTGTTTTTACTGTTGGGCAAACAGGGCAAAAGAAAGTTTTTGGTTTCAATGGGATAATAACAGTTTTTTCTTAACGACTATACGAAGCAAAGACAGACCCAACAAAATCAGACAATTTTCGCGAAAAAAGTTATACTTCTGAATGTTGTTTCAGTTGGGAACCCCTTCAAGTGATGCTCCAGCCAGGGGCAAGTCACAAAACAGCAGGCAAAAAGAAAGCAAAACAGAACAAAATGAAGGCTAACTGTAGCGTGATAATTATGAGAATCATTACACCCCAGCCACTCAGAAGCCATGATGCAGGGCACATGGGGCCATACGCGTCAAAGTTTATCTTGGACTGTATTTTCCTTCATCGTATTCTTGAAACAAACCCGAAATAAGTGTATCAAGCGCTTGATGCATGACTGCTTAATAGAGGTGACAACACTAAAACTCTAGTTGGGATGGCGAAAAGGTGGCTGTGGTCGCGCGCTTAATGGAGGTTGAACTGCATGTCAGGAAATAATCGCCTGTCATGATTTTCGTATGTTCACGATCGTGGTGGCTATATATCTTTTGCGACCCTCCCTCTTTTCCTCTCATTTTTTTCCATAACCCTCCCTTTGAAGGGCTCAAACTGTGACCCTCCCCTGTTTTCCACCTCCCCTCCCCCCTGCTAATTTCTGACAAGTCTCTTATATATTACTTTCCTGCTCTCCAGGATTTACTAACCCACCATCGTTTCCTAAAAATAGACCGTTTTACAGTTGTGGGCTTTAATTTGTACCCTAGAATTGGAATGAGTGTAAGGCTGAGGATACAAACCTCTTTTGTTTTCTTATTTGGCGGTTTGAAATATACTAGTTAGCATAAGAAAACAAGATTTAGATAAGAAAGCAGAAATCTTATGCTTGTATCAACACAAGATCATCTCCAGCCTTGTTTCCATCCATGACTGTGAAATGGTCTATTGAACTCGACTGAGTTACATTGTTTGTGTTCTGTTTTTTTGTCTCTTCAGGGTCTGCTGGTTATCAATATTCCACAAATACTTTCTTGTACTCACTAAAAAACTACAATGGGTATGGATACTTCAAAAAGGACATAACTGACGGCTACTACAGCTACGCCACGTACAGCTATTATAATTATGGTCCAGTCTTTGGTGGCGGCCATGATATGCTTATTGAGGACGATGCGGGAACAAATACCAATTCTTTCTTTAATTGTCACTCGTACCGCAGGCCTTATTGTGACTATAGCATTTGGGCTGGAACACGATACGGGAATAATTTCCGCCCAGATGAGTTGGAGGTTTATTATGAAGTGCTTGCTTGAAACTGGGCAGCCACAAAAAACAAAGGAAACAAGAAAAACAACAACAGTAACAGTAACAGTAACAACAGTAACAAACCAGCGAAAAATAAACAAACAACAGCAATAAATAAATAATTAAGCAGAAGATTCAACAACAAAATGAGGTGTTAAAGCACCAACAGCGGTTAGCCATAGCACAACTAGTTTTGTCCCTATGATGGACCATTCTTGTTTGGTAGCTTAGTTCCATGGTAGGAATTTGCTATAAGGGAGTGTTTTCCTTTGTTAGGACTTATCCCTGTAGGTGTTCTTCGGAATCTCGAAGGCGATTTTGTTTTAAACTGATCAAACGGAGAAATATTATTTGCGTTAATGGAAATCCCGTCCGAAATGACTAAACTCAGATAGGCACACGCAAATAGTTATTTCTTTTTTAGTTAAAATAGTATCAGTAACCTATAAACTAAATAGATAGCAATAAAGAGTTTGGGTACCCTGTAAAATATCCTTAATTCTCTTACTGAGCACATATTAGTATTTTTCTCACTGAGCACAAATCAGTATGACACTCCCTACTCTCTAAGATATAATTCGTTCTGTTTGCAAGCTTGGCCACTTTTATCATTCTACAAGATTGAAGCTATTCAGTAATACTGTTTCATGTTATCATTGTTTTTTGTTTTTACTTTGTTTTTAAGTATATCCAATGATGTAATGGGCAATGTCATTGATTCTTAATTTAAATGCTTATAAACTGAATTGAATTGTCTTAGAGCAGTGAAAGAATCTTCATTGGCAGGGAAAGGCATGATGCAAATCCAACATTGTGGCAAACTACAATGTTGTTTTAGCTGGTGTACGTTTATGACTAGCTAAATCTACGCGCTGGATTGAAGTCATTTCCAAGCACGCGTGGTTTCTAAATTGTTTTCACTGGTTATCCAGACTCATCCACGTGAACAATATGGTGCGTGCTCCTGTTAAAAAGTACTTATCAATTATTACTTAAACTAGTAATAACCACGGGCTATGGAATTCGGGCGAGTTAAAGATATCAGATCGAAGGTCAAAACGCAGTAACATTTTAAGAAGATCCAAAATATTGTCATGATATCAACACTTAAAAAGCAAAAGGAATTCTTTTTGGTAAAGCAGTGTTGTCTTTTCAGTGCTTTTGCCTTCATCTCCCTTATTCCGAGCACTTTAGAATAGAACCTGCTGTGAGATTTCTGTCAAACATTGCGTGTTCTAAAGTTCAGTTGTTTGACTATACGTCACTCCGTTATTACTTGGTTTACCACCTATAACCTGAATATTGTTCTTCAAGGAATATCTTTGATCACGGGATATCTGTTTACATTGCTTGTCTTTGCCATTCCTGGAACTGAGGCTCATCGATTTGAAGCAAACAGATCACCGGCAGCCACTAGACTACGAGCAATTTCTTCCTTTACACCAGCGAGCGACGAAAGAGAGAACTAGGAGGGTTAAAGGGAGGTCACGATCGATAAGCAGGGAAGCCACAACGGTAAAGGCCGAGGGAGACAGCGAAATGAGGAGGAAGAAGAATACCTTGAGCTAACGGAAGCTCGTGAAATTAAAAAAAAGCAGCGAACTCGGATGGGTCAGCAAAGCCACAAGGAACCTGAAGACCATGAGAGGCAGTAACGATAATAGGCTATTTCCGAGTTCCCCTGGGCCTCTGTTTCAAAACGAGGGTAGGTGATCAGGAATGCTAATAAAACTCATTTTCACAAGAAAGATTGTGCATCTAGCCTCATTTTGAAAGTAAGGCTTTTTGGAACTCGGACCTCGGAAGTGGCGTATTGGAGCACTTTCAAAACATAGCCAGAAATTCTCGACAGTCAGCGGCTTAACCCGCTGGTACGTAAATTTCGGTTTTCAATCTGGCGGACACCGGAAGAAGGGAAAGGCTCCTGACCATATCTTGAATTCCCTGAGTACTGCAGATTTCATGAGAATATGAGAATAATAACATATGCTAACGATGTCTCTACTGAGCAAATTCTCCAAGGTTGAAAAGAATTTTCTGGGGCAATGTAATTGTCTGACATGGAATAAATTCCTATCCCTCCAAAATCCCGCTCTTTTTCGAATTTTAGCATTTTCTAGAATATATGAAGTACCTACCGTTGTTATTGGAAATAGCACTGACCACTATGACCTCTTGAACACGTTGAAAGAAAATGGCGGCCTCTGTGAAACCATAGTTAATTGAATGGAATGGTTATGAAACCCGTCAGACTCCTTTGTTATATGTTTTTGTGGACCTGAAAGTGCACAACGTTCAAAAGAATTCCTATCATTTTGATTGTATTGACCAATAAAAACGTTGCATTAATTTATTCCGTAACAATTTGCCAACAGAAAACAAAGGATTGTGCACTTTCACGGTGCTTTGAACATAAACTGCAGCACTGTTGTTTTTATCATTGATGTTTGCCGCTTTTCATAACCAGTCTCCTCTAATAACTATGGTGAAACCAAAACAAAACGGTCGCTTGAAGGAGCATTTTGCGTTGGTATTTTGCTCGTATTCCTGGAAAATACATTGAAAAGGCACCGCGGAAAACAACTGCTTTGTGAAGTTTATTGTCTTATCTTTCGGATACGCTGATGGGGAAGCGAATCGGTGCAACCATTTCATTGTAGCAGAAGTAAGGAACCATGAAGGTAAGCCCTATTTTAGGGATATTGAGAAGAAGGTGTGGCTATTTTATGAGGTAAATTGTCACCGAAAAGCACCGTCTAAAACAGGTTTTTCCCCGCATTGCTTTCGATTGAAATACGGTTCGAACTTGACTTGAACTCTATTTTTGATGATAGTTTCTCGCGTTAATGCCACAAAATGCGAAATGGAAAACATATATAAATTTTTTCCCTCTTCTTCCGGTATACTTGGCAGCCCATTCTCGTTCCCAGAGACACTCGGCTTAATTTGTAACGAACCAGTGGCTCTAGACGCAACGCCAAATACGAATTTTTTCATTGGCTGAAGGGAATTGAATGCGCAGGGCAAATTTAAAGTATAATCTACTGCGCATAACATTTGACTTCCTGCCCTCTGGAACTGCAAACATGAAATCCGTGTCTGGTTTATGTCAATCGCGACAATCCTGTTTTGTTAGCAATTGAATGCAATGCAATATCAGTGAAGAAGAGAATTGGAGGTCATGTTTGAGAAGTTTTTACAAGAACCACAAGCGTTGGCAAATAACGTTTGCCTTCGTTGTGGGCTAATTTTGCCTCTGTATTGACCATCGCATTTGGGGAAACTGAGTGGGGGAGTGAATGGTTAGCCCTTGCTCACAAAGCTTGGAAGATAAAAACTGAGCAATCGACACTTGTGTGGCATTATTAAATCTAATCAGTCTGTCTAATTCCTCTGGATATTCGTCAGTGCTACAGTAAGAGAGGAAATCAAGCTCAAGGACTACATTACAGAAATGATATGTCCGTGATAAGTTTATTACAATGTGCTTTTAATTTATTGTTTTTTCTGCTGAAAGTACATCTCCTTTGCTATACTAACAGGTGAAGATAATTTTCTGTGTCAAGCCTTATTTGTTAGAGTACTGATGTCAGTGCACAAAGCCAGAACTGAATGGCTCATGAATCTTTTGGGCTGCATGCATGAGGCAATTTTTCAGATTTTTGTTTAAAGATGATAGGGCAAGTACTCTTTCCAATCTACATTTTCTTCCTCTGAATTAATGCTTTAATCATGCTTACATGTAGATAATTCTGGAGGCCCTCTGATAGTGTTTATTTTAACAGTAAGAATTAGGCTGTGAAAGGAAAGGCTCTGTGGCTGACTTGTTACAAATGTGTTGCTAGAACATATTCTCTCATCCTAAGAGTCCTTTCTTGGCTTCCAGTGATGTGCCATATAGACAAAGACAAAGATGGCCCCTAGAGTTGTTTATGATAAACAGTTAACAAAGAAGCAGCTATTGCACAATTTTTCTCAATAAATAATTGTTATTTATCTGATCATTAAATAAGGTAGCACAATGTTCTCAACAATTTGGTGTTAAAAGTTTTAAAATACAAGAAAACTTTTAAGAAACTGTTTAAAATTAGGCATATATTATATGAAAACTGGTGTAATGTAGATTTATTGACAATGTTATGGACAACTGAGGTGTTGATAAATAACATAAAAAATGACCAACAGCCTAGAGTAGTCTATTTTGCATCATACTGCTGGAGTAAGTGGTTGTTGATGACAACTGGGTTTTGCAGTATGTCACCTTCGATAGGGTGGGTACAACATAATAGCTTGAGCTGCAGTAATATTCAAGTTTACTAGCTAATCCTAACCAGCTCTGCTATCCACCCCATCCTTGAGCTTGCACACAGCCTTGGCTTACTGAAGCATATGGCATCTTAGTTTATTTTGTTATTGACATAATTAAAACTTGCTTCCACTGCTCATTGATTCAGTTTTGCTAAAACTCTTTCCTAGTTGGAAACCCTCATATTGTAACACAAAATAATCAAAAAAAATGTACAATTATAGCTGTGAGCAGACATTGTACTTTAACTCTACAAAGCACCACATTCAGTAGCCTGTTCCAGGCGTTCAGATAGTGGGGAGCGGTGCGAAGTAACAGGAGCGCGAAAAAATAAAAGCGAGGGAGGGGGAGAGGTGAGAGAGGGAACGCCTGTTAGATTTGTTTTAAATAGACTCATCCGCCCACTGAGACCTCATCAGCTGTAGGTGGTCTTCACTTGTCAATCAAGACTGATGTTACAGCCCCATACATTTATTATTTTTCTAACGAATAAATCAAAATTTCTCGGATCAAAAATTAATATTATGTATACATAATCTTACTAAAAACCTGATGTAAGACTTTCAGACAATAGAGAGCGGAAGAAGTAATTTATTTACGGCTTTAAAACATGATTTCAGCGTGTACGTGACAAAAAAATTATGAATCAAGTGACAAACAAATATCGCTCATTTCGATAGAAAGCCGTTTCAATACAGATCG